GAGCCATGTGAGACACTTTTTTTTATGGATGGGCTCTTTTTATTTCACTTCTTTTGGACTGATGCATGCAACACCTGCTGAGTGCCATGAAATTGATTGAAAGATCAAAGACCATTTTTAATATAACTCCGACTGGATTCGTCTGAAAGAAGAAAGTCATGTACACCTAGGATGACTTGAGGGTGAGTAATTTATGGGCTAATTTTCATTTTTGGGTGAACTAACCCTTTAATTATTTAAAACACCCTTATCACATACTGTCTCCCAGAATGGGTGTGCTGCAGCTCTTGTTTGCCCAGGTTTGAATACATTATTATTAAATATTATTGTAGGTAATTACATTATTAGAGGTGCTACTGTTTATAAAATGATTAAAATCCACTAAGAAGAATGTTTTCCTCCTTTAAGTCCTGTTTTGAAGCCTTCATTCTTCATTGACCTCTGCAAAGCAGCATGAAGAGGGTGATGAAAATGCTTCCTTGATGTAATGAAAGTCTGCAGTCAGCAGAAAGCAGTCAGCCTGCGGCCCTTCACAGGATCCGTGCTGCACTCTCCTTAAATCAGTCAGCGCATGCACATCAGTGCACATTCAGCAGTCAGAGACTAGCTCACGTAGACCAAAAGCTGGATGCAGACCCCTTGACGGTGTCACTGATGCTAAACTTCTTCATGACAGGCCTCATAGAAGACACATTATACAGTTCACCCTGTTCATCAGTGATCTTCCACACTTAAGGACACTAGGTGTCATGTTTGACCATTTTTGTAGGACATTGGCATGAGAGGTAACACAAGGCCATGGCAGGTTAGAAACAGGTCCTGGGTCTTGGGGACAATTTTGATCAAATAACATCTTAACTAATACAGTTTAATTACTGTAAACTAATACTTGCTTAATAAATTAAATAACAATGGGTGGGATGTGGTGATGAAGTTACTGTCTAGCACATAGAACATAATTACTTTTATAAGAGATAAAATATAAATAAAAACAATAAATGCATGAATAGAGAGAGAAAGAGTAGGATTTTATCAAAAAAAATCAAATAATTTAATTATTTCATTTTATTTAAGAAGTGTTTCTTTCTATATAAGAGATCATGTATATTATATAAAATAAAAATGATTAATGTTAAATTATATACATACATATATATGTGTGTATGTGTGTGTATAATTTAACATGAAATAATTCTTAAATTAAAACATTAAGTTTTATATGTATATTTTATATAAATAAAACAAATACAATATAATGACATTATTCTGTATTATGTGTGTGTGTGTGTGTGTGTGTGTGTGTGTATATATATACATACATATAAAAACAGAATAATGTAAATGTTGTAAATGTAAAATGTTGAGTGTTGACCTACAGGTGATTTGCTCATGGGTTGTACATTAGCCAATAGAAAGTGCTGAACATTCTGTGTGGGTAAAACCTGATGCACTTCCTCTTTTCTTTATAGAAATTGTACTGCAGTGTGGTACAATACAAGTAAATGTAGCCAAATACTATTATAGTATAATTCAATAACTTATTCCATTTTTTTTTTTGAAGTTTTACTATGACCACCTTGATGGGATTTTTATTATATACCGTTGCCTGGTGCATTGCAGGTCCAGGGCGGCCAATAATGCCCCCCTTAACATTGTGTATAATATTGCAGGTCCTCGTCAACCAATCAGATGCTCCGTAACAAACCGACGCCGTGAATTCTCAAGCGGAGGGAAATCCACGGGTATCCATCCGCCTGGAGAAACTAGTGCCAACGTCACTGAGTTCATGAAGAGCCTGTTCTTCATAAAAGCAGTAAGAGCAGTGTTTATTTAATAATTATCTAATAATGGCATCGACTAACTTGCACTGGGTTTAATAAAAGATGCTCCAAACCACAGAATCCTATTCTAATATACACAAACATAAGCAGAAATTAGTTTTTGGTGCCACAGTTTTTGTATGTTATTAAGTAGCATATCTAATAATTACCACAGAACATTACCACAGACCTCCTCTGGATAATTAGTTAATCTCTGACAATTAACATGTGCAAAATGAGCAATTTAGCCAGTAAAAAAATCTTCAGCAGTAATTAATATATTTAAACATAGAGCAGCATTGATTGTTTTTTTTATTTAATTTATTTTTAATTTTAATTTATGTAATACAATGCAGCATTGCTTATAAAATTAATTAATTGATGTATATAAATTAAGCTAATATCTTTAAACATGGAGCAGCATTGATTGTTTTTTTAATTATCACTATGTAATACAATGCAGTATTGTTTAAATTACTCTCTAAATTAAGCTAGTAATTAAGCTATATTTAAATTAAGCTGATATACATGCTAGTCTACCAAGTCAGGTCATCTGAAAATGCTCCAGACCCCTTTTAATACCAACAAACAAATGTATTTGTTTATTTTATCATTATTATTATTGTTTATTTTTTTTCAGTGGGGAAATGACTGCATCTTCTCTTCTGGGTGACAAATTTATGTGTATAAAAAGACTACATTAATTATTAGGTGCCTCAGACTAGACAATGCACAATTAATTCATCTATGACACTAAATCACAAAATGAGCGAGCTCTTGTCAATCAGTATGACTGAGTGGCAGTTCATCAACAGTTATTCACATCTTCACATTCTCCAACCCGGAGTCCAGGACATGCTAATAGTGTGCAAAGATGCATTGTTTGGCATTAATCCATCATCTTGATGCTGAAATATTTCAGAGC